ACACACACACACACACACACACACACACACACACACTCTCCTCCCTTCCTTCCTCCCTGCCCCTTGTTACGGCTGCTGACTCAGCAGCCCTAGTTCCCGGCCAGACCAAGTCAGCGGTCCTGGGACTGGAGCCAGTAGGATGTTGCCTCTTTCAGCCCCAAACCTTCCCTTTTCACAGATGAGAAAACTGAGACCGGAGCCAGCAGAAGGGGAGAAAGAGGGACAGACAAAAGCACCGAGACTAAATGGTGCAGAATTAGACTTAGGACAGAGAGAGCTTAAGGGCAGGGGCTGGAAGGAAAGAAGGAGAGGAAGGCAGGGAGAGTGCTTTTTGCTGAGGCTGCCTGGAGGATAGGGGCGCCATCAGGGGAAGGGGAGAGGCAGGCTGCCCGACTTCCTGACTTTTCAGAAGTGAGTAGGTAGAGGAGGAAGTCAAAGGGATGGCCCCCAGGAGGGCTTCTCAGAGGAGGCAAATGAAACTGGGTCCTGAAGGGTGGATATCTCTGAATTAGGAAGAGCCAAAAAGAGAGAGCAGCGAAGAAGAAACAGTATGTGGAAAGGCATGGGTCACCAGATAGGAAAACGTACAGCCCGTTCTGGAGGTACCTGGAGAGCCTGCGTGGGTGCGTGGGGAGCTAGTGGCATCTACCGTGTTCCAGGCCCTGTGCTGAGGGCGAGCAGGACACAGGCCAGCCCTGGAAAGCCTGAGCACCCAGACAAACATGAATCTGAGGACGGAACATCTCAGCCCAGAGGGCAGATGTAGCGATAAAGGCAGCACCGAGGCTTTGGAGCATGAGACTAAGTCTGGAGCTGAGGAAGGCTCCTGGGCTGAAATTCAAAGAATGGGAGTTAGGCAATGAGATCAGCGGTGGGGGACAGTGCGATGGAGAGGGTCAGCCCAGGCAAAGGCCTGGAGATAAAGAACTAAACTCAGCTCTTTGGAGCAACCAAATAGTTCCCAGTGGCTGGGTGTAGCTCTCCATTGGGGAGGGTCAGCGATGAGGCTGGCCAAACACGTAGTCACGTCAAGAAGGAGAGGAAGCCAAGAACGTGCCGGGAGAGGCAGGTGGGGGTCAGACTTCAAGTCCATGCTAAGGTCTTTAGATACTTGAGGTTGGGGGTGGGGGTGCTGCTAGGGGCTTGCATGCTTCTTGGGCTGGCAGACCACTCCATCTGCCCTGATGTGCCTCCCTGGTCCCCAGGGACCTCAGAACAGCACGTCCGGATTCGCTTCGTCAAGAAGAAAAAGGTCATTATAAAGAAAAGAAAGAAGCTAACTAGACCCAGGCCACTGGTGACTACCGGGCCTCCAGTGATCACCACCCCTGCGGGAGCCCTTGACCTCCCAGAGGAGAAGGAACCAGGTACTGCCCTTCCGGGGGGCCCTGCCCAAACTTGCAGCCCATGGGCCACATACTGACGTCACCTTTGGCCTCATGGGCAAAGGCATGGCCCCAGCTCGCCCAGCACATGGGCAAGCATAGGCTCGGCTTCCTACCTGCCCTGACCACTCTCTCTCTCTCTCTCTCTCTCTCTGGTCCTGTTTCACTGCTCTGTCCCTGCCCCAGGCTGCCCCCCTTTGGGCCTGGAGTCCCTGCGAGTCTCAGATAGCCAGCTCGAGGCATCCAGCAGCCAGTCCTTTGGTCTTGGACCACACCGGGGACGGCTCAACATCCAGGTCAGCAGTCCTGGGTCCAATTAGGGCAACCCCTAGGAACTTCTTCCCTGCACCTCCCCAGGCACCATCCTGGCCCACCCTATACTGTTCACCTGGGTCTGATGGCCATGTCCTGTGCCCACAGTCAGGCCTGGAGGATGGTGATCTCTATGATGGGGCCTGGTGTGCTGAGCCTCAGGATGCTGAGCCGTGGCTTCAGGTGGATGCCAGGCACCCCACCCGCTTCTCGGGCATTATCACACAGGGCAGGAACTCTGTCTGGAGGTGAGGCAGGCTAGCCCAGTCCAGGAAGTCACGGGCAGACTCGGGAGGGTTGGGGTGGGAGTCCTGAGGCCACGGAGGATCTCTCCCGACCTCTCCTGCCAGGTACGACTGGGTCACATCATACAAGGTCCAGTTCAGCAATGACAGCCGGACGTGGTGGGGGAGCAGGAACCGTAGCAGTGGGATGGATGCGGTGAGTGGTCCCATGGGGGCTGGGCCCCACTGTAGGGTACTAGGCTGGGCTGGGGCTCCTCTGAGGTCAAGGAACAGACGCCCACTCAGCATCCCAGGAGAAAGGGGGTTGTTGTCAAGATGTGTGGCACCCACCAGGCAGCCTTGGGGCCAAGCTGCTTTGGAAGATGCCTACCTCCTCCCCAGATACTTTCTCCACGGGGTGGGTCCGCTTCATGCTGTAGCTTCCTGCTGGAACACCCTTTCTGGTCGATGGGCCTCAGGCCCTTGCGCCACTTCTCACCTCCCCGCCGCTCTGGCTTTCCCATCTCACGGACCCCTTTTTATACCAGGCTACAGTGTGGGGCCTGGTCAGCTTTAGGACTGGCTGTTCCTGAGCGATGGGGCCATATTGGTCTAATAAGCTGCGACCCAGCCAGAAAGCATGGTTGCCTAGAGCGGCCTGTTGGCAGGGGGTAGGAGGGGGGGGCGGGTGGTCTGTGTTTGACAGAGAGTGCAGGTCTCCAGGCAAGCCCGCCAGGGTGGGTTTGGTGGTGAGCTCGGAGGCCTGAGCTCCTTCTCTGCTTCCGGGCCAGGCTGCTGGGGTTTGAGCAGTCTCATTAAAGGACTCGATGCCCCCAGGTATTTCCTGCCAATTCAGACCCAGAGACACCGGTGCTGAACCTCCTGCCTGAGCCCCAGGTGGCCCGCTTCATTCGCCTGCTGCCCCAGACCTGGCTCCAGGGAGGCGATTCCTGCCTCCGGGCAGAGATCCTGGCCTGCCCTGTCTCAGGTGGGCAGTCGGACAAGGGCTGGATGAGCAGGGTAAAAACCTCCGCCGTGGACTCCCCCTTGACCGTGAATTCATTCTCCACCAGATCCTAACGACCTATTCCCTAAGGCCCCTGCACTGGGATCCTCTGATCCTTTGGACTTCCGGCATCACAATTACAAGGCCATGAGGAAGGTCAGACATGAACTCCTATGACCCAGGAGGGAGGAGCTGCCTAGCTCCGGTCCCCTTCCCACCAGGGCATAACCTGCTATGACTGTCCTCATGTCCCCACTCCCCCTACTGTCTCATCCTTCTCGCCCGCTGACCCCTAAACTCTGTCCCGGTTTCCTTTGCTGTGGTATTTCCCTCATCCTAACCCTTCCTTCTGGTCTGCTATTGCCCTGGTCCTATTCGGTGCCATGGTGCCCCATCTGTGTGGGCCACCGCTGGTTTTTGTGAGCCCTTCCATGGCCTCATGTGGTCTGACCCTTGGGTCTAATCCTCCCGTGCCCCATGCCGTGCTATACTCTGCCCCCGCCCACCCCCCCCAGCTGATGAAGCAGGTGAACGAACAGTGCCCCAACGTCACCCGCATCTACAGCATTGGGAAGAGCCACCAGGGCCTGAAGCTGTACGTGATGGAAATGTCGGACCACCCTGGCCAACATGAGCTGGGTACTGGCAGGTTCTGGGCAGGGAGAGGTGGGCACAGGGAAGGGTTGTGGGCGCGAGCCCACGTGGAGCCCCTGTGTTCCCAGGAGAGCCTGAGGTGCGCTATGTGGCCGGTATGCATGGGAATGAGGCCCTGGGGCGGGAGTTGCTCCTGCTTCTGATGCAGTACCTGTGCCGTGAGTTCCTGCGAGGGGACCCGCGGGTGACCCGGCTGCTCACCGAGACACGTATTCACCTGCTGCCCTCCATGAACCCTGATGGTTATGAGACTGCCTTTCGCCGGGTAGGCCGCCTGGCATGAGGGCCACCCCGCTCCTTCTGCCCTGATGCCTGCTTGGCTTGAACAGGCCCCTTCCCTGGCAGGGCTCGGAGCTGGTAGGCTGGGCAGAGGGCCGCTGGAACCAGCAGGGCATTGACCTTAACCATAATTTTGCTGACCTCAACACACCGCTGTGGGAAGCAGAGGATGACGGGCTAGTGCCTGACACCGTCCCCAACCATCACCTGCCACTGCCCACTTACTACACCCTGCCCAACGCCACCGTGAGTCTTCTGGGGAAGTGGCGGAGGGTCGTCGGGGGGCTCTTGTCTCTGTCTCCCACCTCACCCCACCTGACCCTGTCTAGGTGGCTCCCGAAACGCGGGCAGTGATCGAGTGGATGGAGCGGATCCCCTTTGTGCTGAGCGCCAACCTCCACGGGGGTGAGCTCGTGGTGTCCTACCCGTTCGACATGACTCGGACCCCGTGGGCTGCCCGTGAACTCACGCCCACCCCGGATGATGCCGTATTCCGCTGGCTCAGCACCGTCTATGCTGGCACTAACCGGGCCATGCAGGACCTAGACCGCCGACCCTGCCACAGCCAAGACTTCTCCTTGCATGGCAACATCATCAACGGCGCTGACTGGCACACAGTCCCCGGGAGTATGTGCCTCAGGGTAGAGTTAGCCCTGGCCCCAGAACCCTGTCCCCATGAGACAGTCTGCTCGGTCCACGTAGAGCAGCGGTGTTGACCATCCCTCCGGGAAGTGTCTCACAGAGGAGGGCTACCAGGCGGGCAGGGCTCCCTTCCCCCACTTAGGCTCCAGTATCCATGGCCACCCTAGGTATGAATGACTTCAGCTACCTGCACACCAACTGCTTTGAGGTCACCGTGGAGCTGTCCTGTGACAAGTTTCCTCACGAGAACGAGCTGCCCCAGGAGTGGGAGAACAACAAAGATGCCCTCCTCACCTACCTGGAGCAGGTTGGATCCGAATCCCCCCCCGACCCTGGCCTGCCGTGGTCTGCTGTCCGTGTAGGGTTGCAGCTCCCACCAGGGGGGGGCCTTCCAGGGTCCGACCGGACGTGCTGACTCACAGAGGCCTTGGGTCGCACTTGGTATCAGATTGACCTGGAGGGTTAGAGCACTGAAAGCACAGTCTGCCGGCAGGGCAGCATCAGACATCATTAGCCGGGAGGTGTAGACCGCACAGCAGTATAGACCCGGGTCCCCGGAGCTGTCCCAGAGCTGTCTTGGGAGAGCTGTTCTCAGAAAAGACCCATTATTCAAGTGCAGGGGGTGTCCTGGCATAGACGCGTTGCATCCCACAGGAACCATATCCCTTGTGATGGCTCTGTGAGTATGGTTTCCAAAGGTTCCAAAATGACAAGCCCTATTTCAAGGGCCGCTGAACTTGGGGAAACCCAAAGATGAGCCTTCCTACCAGGTGTTTGTAGTTCTCCCAGTCCAGATGCATTTTATCCATCAGGAGTTTATTTTATTTTATTTTATTTTATTTTTATTATTTTTTAATTTAATTTAATTTTATTTTTTTAACGTTTATTTGTTTTTGAGACAGAGAGAGACAGAGCATGAGCAGGGAGGACAGAAGGAGACACAGAATGGGAAGCAGGCTCCAGGCTCTGAGCCATCAGCAGAAGGAAACCCGGCAAATTCGAACTGGAAATGAACCCTTGGATGACCTGAGCTGAAGTCGGACTAACCGACTGAAACCACCAAACTGCCTTTTTTTAAAAAACATATATTTATTTTTGAGAGAGAGAGCATGCACGTGAGCAGTGGAAAGGCAGAAAGAGAGGGGGACAGAGGATCCAAAGTGGGCTCTGTGTATTTGAGAAGCAAGAAGGAAAACTTGATGTGGGGCTGAGCAGCGAAACTGAGCGTGACCTGAGCGAAGTGAATGGCTGCCGACTAGGCAGTGCCCCCATCAGGAGTTACTTTTACCAGGGTATTGCCACCTAGGAACATAGACATGCCATCTTCAAGTGTGCTGTGAACAGAGCTGGAAAATGAAGTGAAGGTCACACCTCATGCAGAAAGAAAAGGGTTTTGATAGCCTTTTCCCGCACAGGTGCGAGTGGGCATTGCAGGAGTTGTGCGGGACAAGGACACAGAACTCGGGATTGCCGATGCTGTCATTTCTGTGGACGGGATTAACCACGATGTAACGACAGGTGTGTCGGGGAGGGGATGGCGGAGGTGTGGGAGGCCTTTAGGCAGGGTCAGAAGCTGAGGATCACTGGATCCTGATCGTGACCTTCACTCTTGTCAGCATGGGGCGGGGATTACTGGCGCCTGCTGACCCCAGGGGACTATATGGTGACCGCCAGTGCTGAGGGCTATCACTCAGTGACGAGGAGCTGCCGGGTCACCTTTGAAGAGGGCCCAGTGCCCTGCAATTTCCACCTCACCAAGACTCCCAAACAAAGACTTCGAGAACTGCTCGCCTCCGGGGCCAAAGTGCCCCCAGACCTTCGGAGGCGTCTGGAGCGCCTGAGGGGGCAGAAGAATTAACACCTCCAGGTGAACAGCCCCAGAGCCTTGGGCAGGCTGGACCTGTCCAGAACTGAAAGCGGGAGGGACAGAGTGGGGGGAGAGGTGCTGAGGCTCATTAAAGCTACTTGGTACCTCAGGCAGCCTTCCTGCGGTCTCTGTGTCCCAGGTCCTGCCCCTGGGCCAGGCCTCGGCTTCCCCTCCTCCCCGATCCTAGTCCACACACGCTGGCAGGCTCTCATCAGATGACTTCTGGAGAAATGGTGTGGAAAGAGGATCCCGCCCGGGTTCTTGAACCTAGGGCTTGCCAGAGCAACTCCTCCATCAATCAGCTTCAGCAGGAACCATTGCAGTGCTCAGACCCAAGCATGCATGCAAGGCGTCAAGGATAAACAGTGCCCTCCCAGCCTCCCGGGGCTCACCGTCAAGAGAGGGGACGGTTTGGCACGGTGCGGGCCATGCTGTGGGAGCACAGACGGGATTACATACGTGGGTGTGAAATACGGCAGCGCAGTTCGGCAGGGACTCAAAAGGTCAAGGATGCAACAGATGGGAAGGTTCTCGGAGGTTAGATGGGAGGCGGCCCAAGTGTGGGGTATGGACCGAGAGCTCCAAGGAGAGACCAGACGAGGAAGACAGAACAGCGGGGGACATTAGAATTTGCTCCACCAGCCCTCTTTGGGGGGTGTTGGTAAATGACAAGATTTGATCCGTTTCCTTCAGACTGAAGGGCAAATTATGTGTCAGTCTTGCGAGGGAAATAGCCCGCTTAGGTATTTTAAGCCAGAGGAAAATTTAACGCTGGGCATTGGCTATAAAGGTTTTGGAAGAGCTGGATGAGAAAAAGAAAGGAGTTTTACCTGAAAATCAGGCCACTTACCGTTTGCAGCCACTTTGCCATGATCACTTGTCGTGGCTCGAGGCTGAAGCAGAATAGTTTCTTCCTTCCTTCCACTTTCTAGTCTCCAACCTCCAAAATCCACTGGCAAAATCTAACTGTAACTGGGGCGCCCGGCTGGCTCGGTCAGTGGAGCGTGCAACCCTTGATCTCGGGGTCGTGAGTTCCAGCCCCATGTTGGGTGTAGAGATTACTTAAAGAAATAAAATGTTCAGAAAAATCTAACTGTGCCCTAGCTTGCAAAGAAACCCACAAAATGTAGTTTCCAGGCGCCCCCCCCACCCCCGCCTTGCAGTTCAGAGAAGAGCTTGTAAGGGGCAATTACTAACGTGTAGATTCAACACAAAGACATCCATATAGCCTTCCGTTAGGCAAGCTGTGCCTTAGTGTGGGCTGTTGTATTGTCTCTGTTTCTAGAGCTGTTTCCGCCCCTCATATTTTCTTTTAACAAAATGCTTATTTATTTTTGAGAGAGAGAAAGAGAAAGCATGGGGGAGGGGCAGAGGGAGACAGATCTGGAACTGGTTCTGCAGTGTCAGCAGTGAGCCCGATGCAGGGCTCCCAGCTCACAAACCGTGAGATCATGACCTGAGCCGAGGTCAGACACTTAGCTGCCTGAACCGCCCAGGTTTGGCACCCCAAGCCTCTCATAGTTTCAAAATCAGATCACCGGGAGGAATTCAGTGCCACAGGTCCCATCTCCCTGCTCCCCACCGCCAGCATCATCTTTTTCCCAAAACAAGAAGAGATGGTTTTTATTCGTCAAAGCTGAAGATACATAATGAAAAGTGCACTTAAGAGCCCAGCTTATTGGCTGAGTGGTTTACAAGACGGGACTCAACTCTAGACTATAATAAACTCACTTCCAATGTAAAGATACACGCACCTCGAAAGTAAAAGGCTGAAAAAGAGGGATGCCTGGGTGGCTCAGTCGGTTAAGCGTCCAACTTTGGCTTAGGTCATGATCTCACAGTTTGTGGGTTCGAGCCCCGCCTTGGGCTCTGTGCTGACAGCTCAGACCCCTGGAGCCTGCTTCTGATTCTGTATCTCCCTCTCTCTCGCCCTCCCCCACTTGCCCTGTGTGTGTCTCTCTCTCTCAAAAATAAACATTAGAAAAATTTTTTAAAAAGGTTGAAAAAGATACATTATGCAAACATTAATCAAAAGAAAGCAGGAGTGGCTATCTTTTTTTTCCTAAAGCTTTTATGTATTTATTTACATTTATTTATTTATTTATTTATTTTGAGAGCGAGAAAGCACAAATTGGGGAGGGGCAGAGAGAGAGAGAGAGAGAGGGAGGGAGGGAATCCCAAGCAGGATCTGCCCTGTCCATGCATAGCCTGAAACGGGGCTCGAACCCACCAACCGTGAGATCATGACCTGAGCCGAAGTCAGACGCTTAACTGACTGAGCCATCCAGGTGCCCCATGAAGATTTTATTTTTGAGTAATCTCTACACCCAACGTGGGGCTTGAACCCACAACCCCAGATCCAGCGTGCCCTGCCGACTGAGCCAGCCAGGTGCCGCGGGAGCGGCTCTCTTAACGTGAGCTAAAGTTGACTTCAGGACAAAGTGACCTTTCTATATGCATTTTAGATTTAGCGGTTCGGAGGGAGAAACAGAGCAGGTTCAGTGTTTTTTGTTTTGTTTTGGAAATTGGCTCTTGAGCATGAAAAGGGAAGCAGGCCTTGATGCCAAGATGACGTCTTGGCAAGAGACTAGAGGGATAGCAAGAGTGCCCTTCCCCTCCTCTCGGGACCCACTGAAGGTCACCTGATCTGGGAGGTGGGGAAAGGAAACTGGGCCCGACCTGGGTGGGGAGGGGAAAGGACAGGCCCAAGAGGATGGGCGGCTTGCACAGGCATCTGTCCCAACAACCTGGGGCCCTGGGTCAGCAGGGCCGGTGTAGACACTACTCATCACCTCTTAATGAGTGGCTGCTCTTGAGTCAACGGCCCCACTAGCCGTGGGTCCCGCTCTGCTACAGAGTGCTGTGGGCGTCATCTGACCTTCCTGTTTGTCAACAGCCCAGGACGCTCCCCCTCTTGAGACAGAAGGGGAGTCCTTGTCACCGGAGTAGTGGTGCTCTGAAGGCCTAGCCCCTGTTCTCCAGGTGCTGGCGATGGGGATGGTGGAGGCCCTCAGCGTCGCATCCAGAACCTTCTCACCAGCCGGCACACCCATCCCTCGAGTGCAGGGCGTGTCGGCTACTGACATCTCGTAGCTTCTCTCGAGTACTGCTCTTAGCCAAACGGGAACCTCTTGACACTGGGGTCACATGCTTTGGCAGCCTGTAGCCGGCGACTGACTGGCACGGAGCCATCAGAGCTATCTCCTTGCCACCGAGAGGGTCCAACGTGGTGGCCTTCAAGCCCCAGAGGTCCCCATTGGGATCGTGTCAGACTCCTGCTGAGACCACATTCTTAGCTCTTTCCCCTGCCCTCTTCTGCTCCCCTCACTGCTTTTCTTCCAGAGAGCCCTTTCACCAGCACCCACGTCCCCACTTTAGCTCTGTTTCAGGGGATCCCACCCAAGGAGCTAGGCTTACGGCAAGTGCTGAGTAAACGGGGGGCTCTGAGGGCAGGGTAGCCCCCCCCCCCAGTCTGGGCTTTGCTGAAGGAATTCGAGGCCTTGCTGGGGTTCTTCCTCCCGCTCTGACAGGCCTCACTCTGTACATACACACACGGGCCCAGACAGCCCCTGTGACCCCCTCTTTCCTCAACTTCTGCTCCTGAACTGCTCCCCCAAGGAAGCAGGTGTGAAGGACTTCTGTCAACCTTGAGGCTTCATTATGAGCTTCCGGTCTTCAGGTGAGACCAAGAGAGGGGGGCATCCCTGCCTCACTCAACAAGAGGGCAGCGAGGTGCCGGGCGGTCTCGGTAACTGTGCCCGGCCCGGCCCGACCCCGTCGGGCTCCGTGCTGCAGAACGGGCCGGGGCACCGTTGAGAGGCCTGCCAAGTTTGGGCCTCCTCGGCAGCCACCCCACCACATTCCACCCGGCGGCCACAGTTTGTCTTGGCAAGGTGGCCTTCTGGGCCTGGCTCCCAGAAGGGCCTAGGGAGCAGCCCCAGACAAACCAGCTTTCACCACAGAAGCCGAAGCTTGAGTCCACGCCAGCCCCAGAGTGGCCGGGCCTTCCTCCACCCACCTGAAGGTAAACTCGGATTCTGGGCGAGTGGGCGGAAGCGTGGAGGGGAGCCAGGGGAACCCCAAGAGGGCCATCAGGGACAGGGACCCAGGCCAGGGGGGGTGCTTTCCTGGACTCACGGGATGGCTGCCAGACTGTGGAGCATCCCTTGGCCACGGTGCCAGATACACGGCCCTTTGCAGCCCTGCCACGGAGATGCGTCCACGCTTCCCCTCTCCCAGCGGCTCAGGAGCTTCCCCCAGCTCCGCCAGGAGCCCTGGCAGCCCTGTCCGCCCGCCTGAGGGGTGCACTGCACAGCCAGGGGTACATCAGAAGCCGCTTTCGTTCCCAGGCTGGCAGGGGATGGATGGGGAAGGAGAGGCTTTGAAGAAACAAGATGGCAGGTTGCTGGGCCCCAAGGAACAACAGACCTGCTGAAGCATTTTTCCTTCCCCTTTTAAACACTTGGCTCCTACTCTCTCAAGGAATAAAATTACCTAAAGAATGTGCCCCCAAAATGGCCTTGTCTGTGTTATTGTCCTGGTGCGAAGCCTTTTCTGTATCTTTTGAGTCGGGAGATCTCTTCCATTCTGTCTCCAGTGGCGGGGGGTGGGGGTGTCTGTGCAGCCAGAACCCCCTTGGCAGTCCTCGCAGCTCTAAACCCAGAACCACGCCATCTGCCCAGGGCTGCCACTCCGCTCCCCTGCAAGCCCCCTGCTTGGCAAGGCAGGGAGATTTGGGCCCCTTTCCCTTTGGGAAGTAAGTGGAGGCAGGGTCTTCTGGAAAGACGGCCCACGAGTGCCCTTCTGCAATTCCAGTAAAGGGGACCCAAAGCCAGGAGTCCAGCTAGGGGGAGACAGGTTAGAGTTGAGGTGGAATGACTTAGGGAGACATTAATTTACATGTGTTCTTTTGTGTTTGCAGCCCTGCTCCCAGAAGGTAGCATGGCAGGGTGATGTACCCTGGCGGTTTGCAGGGCTCGGCATTTTGTTTC